AGGACCATTTAAGGTAGTGCGCAAGGTGGGAGAGGTGTCCTATCACCTAGAGTTGCCACCGAAGTCGAAGATCCATTTGGTATTCCATGTTAGTATGCTAAAACCATACCATGCGGACGAGGAGGATCCAAGCCGAGGAGTTTCTTATAGGCGCCTACGGTAGTGGTTGACTCGTATGACAAAGAAGTTGATGTCATACTTGATGACCGCATAGTTAGACGTCGTGGAATGCCACCAAGAAAGGAGTACTATGTAAAATGGAAGGGACTACCCGATAGCGAGGCTAGTTGGGAACCCGCCGAAGCCTTGTGGCGGTTGGCACGGAAGGTCAAAGAGTATAATGAAGGCGCACCGAGGACGTCGCCGAATTAGGTGAGGGAGAGTGTTACGCTGCGCCTAAAAGAGGGATTTTTCTAAAGATTCTAAAGAACACTAGATAAGTCTAAAAGCTTCTAGAAGAGTATGGAACAATGGAGAAGCCTCCAGATAAGTCTAGAAGCTTCGGAAGAGTATGGAGCAATGGAGAAGCCTCCAGATAAGTCCGGAAGCTTCGAAGAGTATGGAGCAAAGGATAAGCCTCTAGATAAGGCTGGAAGCTTCTAGAAGAATATGAAGCATTGGAGAAGTCTCTAAGATGATCTAGAGAATTCTAGAGAGTCCCTCACTAATCTAGCATGTGTATATATAGATAGTTCCTTGTAAATATCTAGATACGATATTTCTAGAGAACCAATTGTAAACATTGGATTAAATAGATCCTAGCCATTCATTGAGGAGGTGCAAGGCTATAAATAGGTGAGGCCCTCACTTGGCCAAGGCACCTAGACATTCATAAACTTAAGAGAGTGTGTCTTTAGAGTTGTAAGCTTTTAGAAAGCAATACAAAGAGTATTTATATCTCTTGTGTGTGTCTTTCTTGCTTAGCAACTTTGTGTGAGAAAGGCTGACTTGGTTTGTCTTAGAGAAGAAGAGAGCCAAGTGCCGCACGTGAGCTTGGGAAAGGCCAAGTCCGTGACAATATGCTCCATCTCTTTTCCATAAAATTCCTCGTCCACGTACACATTCGGGCATATGATAGAGGAGCGGTATTCCTCACCCTAAAAAAAAAAAACAAATTTTCAAAAGCTCTGTCGCTTTACAAACTAAATATGTTAGGCAAGTGCCGTGAATGACTTGGTGGTAAGGTAAATAGAAAAATCTATGAAATTTTTTATTTTTATACTTCCCGATACCATCTTGCAAATGTACTAAGATATGGATGTGGTGTTTATAAAAGGAGAGGAAATGAGTTGAACCCGGCCATCAATTACATGTTTCTTTCTTTTCTTTTCTTTTTTTGGGTGCAAACTAACGGATTTAGATGAAAAGCTTATATTGCATCATTTGTGATAATTAAGAATGTAGCTGTAATTTTTTATAGACCGGGGACCAAATCAAAATTTGGATGTAGTTTCTAGTTGATAATTTTTATTTTTTTAATCTTTGAGTATAAAGATAGACGAGATTTTTTTTTCAAACAAAATAACTTGTGTTTATTGAGATTGTGATACTAAGCATTACCGATTATTCATTCTCTTATATTTAGTCTTTTGGGTATGTTTTTGTAGTTATATATATTGAATTAAGTTCATTTTGTGACTTAAAAAAATAGAGGCAAATGAGAAAAAATGTGTTAACAAAGGCAAAATTCCAATATTGACAGATTGACCTTCAAAGAAAGAAACGATAATTTTACATCCTTAGAGCTCTAAAACGTAAAAGAAGTCTTCTTGAAAATTATAATGGATATCTTAATCTTTTCAAATTAGGTTTAAATGCATAAATTCATTCTATTTTGGACTATCTAAATCGATTGCAAAGTCATGAAAGGAATTTAGACCTATGATAATTCTAAAAATTGATTAGAGTTTAAATTATATCTAAAAATATACACGTTAGATTAAGATGATTTAAAAGCTTATAGAAAGAAAACATTGAGGCTGACAACTTTTATGATATCCCAAGTTCAAATATATCACCTCCCGACCCTAAATTAGTTTGGAAGTTACAACACGACAGCTAGAGTCCTATTGAGCTACAAGTCTTAATTAATTTCGAGAATAATCCTAAATAGGACTTTGAAGTCGTCATAATTATCTTCTTACATGTATAGCCTCCGGGGATGTACATTAGGGAGTCACGCTTTTTTTTAAAAAAAACATAATTTAGGATTTATTACTTCGAACAATGTCTAGCTAAATTTTCTTAATTCGGTTCAAGAGATTTCAACTTCAATTTTCAAAAGATTGTGAGACACTTGTGTGAAATCTAAACTTAGTCTTTATGATTTGAGTATCTATTATTTTTCTAAATTTAATTAATTGATCTCCGATTTAAATTAATTATAATTACATAAATTATTATCTAAGTGGCTAATTGGTTGATTGTCTATTATGATTCATAGCTAACTAACTTTTTTAATCTGTTATTGTTTTGAAAATTTAATACAAGTAGAAAATTAGGTTTGCTTACCTAAAGAAAACAAAAGAATGAATTAAATGATTTTAGGGTTTTAGATTGTTATTCGATCTTAACTATCTTCATAGTTTGTAATGTTATTATTGATTTGACTTCGTTTTATTTTTACAATCTCAACTTTGTGAACAAACCAAACTCTTTTTTTTTATTTAAATAAATTGAGTTGATCATGTAATCTCTAGGGTTCGATTTGAACTTACCTCTACTATAAATTTTGATAAGAATAGTAATTTAAATATGATGATTTCGACATACATCAGGTTGTAGTGCCATTGAATAACATCCCATTTATCGTATTCAAATTCAAAGTCCTTATAATGACATTAAAATTGGACTTATAGTTCAAAATCTTTGTAGAGGAGAGTTCTTAAGAACTAATCGGATGATTGGTCGACAAGCAAGTCAAGATGTAAAGAGCTAGTGTTGTGATTTATAAAAGAATGATCAACTAATCAAATAGAAATAATGCAAATAGTGAGAGGCATAGGAGGAGGAGCGGGAAATGCTAGCAAAGGGCAAGTCTGGTAAGTGGGTAGTCAAAGTTTAAATAAGTGAAGATTTAGGTGTTAATTTAGGGATGACAATGGCACTGGGTACCCTATTCATTAAGCCAATCTCATATTCTACCCACTAAAAAGTACTATACTCATTACCCTAGCCATTATCTATTAAGAATCATTTAGTCATTTCTTTACCCAACTCATACCCACTATATCATACCTTGCCCATATCCGTTTACCTACTAATTTTTTTCTTCCTTAAATTGAAGACTTTTTTTTATTACTAAAAACTATTTTTTGTTACAAACTCTTTTTGTAAATACTATAACATACAAAAATATTATAATAAATATATTTAATAATTTATAAATTTTTAATCCATGTGTGCATGTCTCAAAATTTTTTATTAGATAATTCTTTAAATTTAATAAATAAATAAATAGAATGATAATACATACACATCATTTCAATAAAAATTATCCATAATAAAAAAAAATCGTTTGAAAGCACACCAATACGAAATAACCAATGTACCAAAAAGTAAGAGATACTAAAGAAGATCACTAAAGGTATCTCGAATTACAATGTGCCTTAAAACGTGAAAAATTTTGAACTTCAACAAACTACCAATCCTCCTATTCCATTCTTACATTCTTTTGACCACCAATATGCATGTATTCTTACAATAATGTGTGAGCTATAGCCTAAAGCTCGTTATTACTTTTTCTTTTCTTTTCTTTTTTTTAATTTTTAATTTTTTTTAATGGATAGATAATGAGTATCAATAGGATAAAAAAATGATACTCATGTTCATGAATTAATTGTCTATTAATATAAATAGGTAATACTATTTTATCCATATTTAACCTATTATCCTTTAAAAATATTACTCATTGGGATATTTTTAAAGGGTAATTAATTAACGGGTTGGGCGAGGTACCTACTTTGTACCCGACCCACTCGCCATCCCTAGGTGTTATTTAGTGTGTGAATATGAGAGATTTGAGATAGAGAGTTCAAAAGTTTCTTTTTTAGATATCAAAAATTTGAAGTCAAAAGTTTATTTATCTAAAAGTTTTGATCTCTTCACAATGATATAAGGTTGATATTTATAATGAAAGATGATAATCCTTAATCGTTAGGATCGTGTCATATTATTCAAATTTGAATGGTCAGATTTAGTTTGAGGAATTTAGGTTTTTTTGCTAAAATTTTTTAATTTACTAGCAAATGCTAAATGAAGCAATAATTGGACTTTTTTTTTAGTGGACCATTCTCCTAACCTACCAAGTCAATCTCCTTAATGCATTTCAAAAACAAGATATAGACATTAATCATACCAAAACACCCGTGTCCATCCTTGCAACTTATGACTTTGCATTGAGTAGACTCATCCTCAATCTAATTTATTTATAGTATAGCCTGAGCCCAAAAGAAAAAAAAAATTATTTAATTAAGTTTTTTTAGGGACAAATTTAACCTATACAACCTTTATAGTATTCATTTGATTATAACGCCCATATCCGATGGGTAGGATTTTCCCGCACTATAAACAATAGCACGATTAACTAAGAAATTAAAATTAGGAACTACCATATAGTTATTAATAACACAAGTGGATCTATCGTGACTGTACGGTGAACTTGGTAGCCGGAAATTTTTTTAATGTGCGGAGGGAACTTACTTTCATGACAATGTTATTTCAGTTAAAAAATTCCTTTTCTCACAAAAATGTCCTGTATTTATTATAAGATTGGAAAGATGGGATGTGAAATCAATTAATTAGGTGTAGTAGCAGTGTGTGCGTGTATAACATTATACAAGACCATGCGTAGCTGGAACTCTTTAAGAATTCATAACTTAATTGATTAATAGACCATTCTTTGTTCAATCCATACGATCATAGAAGATAGACAACGCTATCACTCATTACAGATATCATACACACGGCAGCTAAAAATTCGTGTAATTGCAATAAACAGTTCAACAATTCAGAAGCTGCCTGACGTTCATAGGTGAAATATAATTCAAGCCACCATCCATCATATGTTCCGCTATGATTTTGTAAGAAGTTTCGGTTAGATGGAATGGATCCCAGAACACATACTTTGATCTGTCAGGACAAACTTGAGATAGAGTTTCACATGGAATTAGACCCCCATGTAGTCCAGCTCCAGCAATGTGGCAGCATGCTGAATCTGCAACTTCAAAACCTGTCAAATAATGATGATAAATAAACAACAGAGAGGTTCTGTCTGTCAGAAAATTTAAGACCTTAACATCGACGAAAAAATGTATGTTGCAAAGCAAATTCAGTGTACCATATGAAGACATGTAGTTATTGAGAATATCATCTAGCATCGCATAAACATTTGCACAAATAAAATTTGATGCCTCAAGATTTTTGGTGAGTTCTGCTAGCAGGCTATTCAATCTGCTATTAAACAATTGTGCTTTCTGATTCATGACAGAAACGCAATTATCTACAGACGAATATAGATCTCTGATAAAAGGGATGCATCCGACAGCAGCAGAATTTGTTACTATTAACTTTCTGGCATCCAGATTGTAGAGTCTCTGCACCCAAAATTTACATCTTGTTTTCTAAGAAAGTCGAAATAAAACTTAATTAAGCTGAGAGTTATCAGAATAAGGGAGCACATGCAGGAAAATCTTACCGTAAGTTGTAATTTGAATCGTGAACTTATAGTGTCAAGTAATGTATTCCAAGATGAGTTCTGCCATTGACCAAATATGATGTCATTTGAGCCAACTGAAACAAAAAAGAGAGCCTGTCTAAGCAGCTTTTTAGCTGCTTGTGCACCGATTCTTGAGATGATATCTTGTCTAGTCTTCGCAAAGTTGCTGATTTGTGTATCAAAATGGATTTGATCACCCTATTATTAATGAAATAGAGTTATGTTAATCTTAAGAGAGCTATGACACTCTAAAAAATTAGGTCCATGCCTCTCAGAGAGATTCTTTGATGGATTTCACTCAATTAGTTTCCTTACACAGCCCAAAAGAGCTCTTGAAAAATTGATCAACTTCAGCCGACAATTTGTGAAAGATGAAACCTATTTTCAATGGAACAGAAAGCTTACAAAGAAATGTTCGGTATCATTCAAGATTCCTGATGCCGAAGAAGCATAATTGACTCCCATCAGAATCACTTCTCCAGTGGTTGTGGGAGCCAAGTAAGGAGGAGTGAAACTAGCCAACCCTACTTCTTCTCCTGCCAAAACAAAATAAACAGATGAAGGAAAAGGACAGTTAATAACTAGTGGAAAGAAACAGGAATAATATATACTTGCCTAAGATGTCAGTTACTGTTCTACCATTCGTAAATCGCCCTGAAGGAATTCCTATGGGATTCCCGAAATCAATCCCATTAGGAAAATTTGCTTTTGCTACAGTACTAATGTAGAAGTTGTTTCCTGCATCAACCAGTGAATCTCCAAATATATAGAAAGCAGGAATATCCTTTGCGGAACAGGCTTTGAGGCAAAAGAAGGTTGTTGCCATATGCAGTATCATATCTGCAATCACAAATCTTTCTGATACAAAACCCATCAACATTCCTTTAGAAAATAAGAGAGGAAGTGACTCGTTTATTGATTCTGAATCTCACAAAATTTGCATTAGAGGAGCCTTGAAATGATCCTTTAGGCCATGTGAAGATCTTTAAAATGCAAGTGAAAATGGTATAATCTCTTCTCTTTGAACCTTCACTTAGGACTCAAAATAGAAGGATATGAGCTCAGAAAAACCCAATAATAGCACATGATACAGGCAACACTTCTGGCAAGGTTCATGAGCTATATATAACTTGCCACGATGGGTGCTTTGAAGCGTAAAATCGATGTGGTCATAATTCACATGATACACGACGTACTTCGTCAGTTACATCTAGCAAGGTCCATTACCTATTCACCAGCCAATTGTTCTTGCAACCTGCTAAGGTTCTCTTTCGTCATATGATGATTCAGTCAGGAATTACTGCATGGTGGACCAGGTTTGAAACTGTCAAATTTCTGCATAGCTCAGAAGTGATACCTGGTTTCTTACCACCAATTCTGTCAACTTTTTCTTGCTTTTTGCTTCTTTTTTCTTTACGTTATCCCATATGATTGTATAATAACTTAAGCTTCCAAAACCAGCCAAAAAGAGTTAACCACGATTAAACGCACCTTGCATGAGGGGTACACTCATCGATAATGACATATCCTATTGCTATTAGGCTTTCAAGTTTACTTGCATCGCTTTCATAATTAAGGCTCTCATTTGACGTCGAAGCAATCTGTTAAATATATATATATATATATATATATATATATATATATATATATATTTCTCTTTTTTTAATTTGCAATCTGATTGTTTCATTTATTTTGTTAAACATTCTTAGAGTGGCTGATCACAATTTCGATTATTTCCAGACACCAGTGGCATATTTTTATACAATTGGCACGGCCTAGCGTTTATTTATTTATTTTGAGAAAACGGCCTTGATATTCCATGAGAACTCAAAAGTTCGTAAACGATAAAAGTTCTGTACGCTATACTTTATATTTTGATGGATGGCCATGAGTGAAGAATTTACGAGTTGTGGATCGTTTATCTGAAATGCAGTTCAAGCCAACATCCATCATATGATATGCTGCAATTAGCTAGGTTATAGCTAGATGGTTTGAATCCCAGAACACACACACACATATATATATGCTTGGATCTGTCTGGACAGACTTGAGATGTGCGAGTGCATGGAATAAAACCTCTATGACTCCCGGGAAGATGGCAGCACGCAAAGTCTGCGGAGCCTGTGAAAAATGGGAAAGGACCACCTACGGTTAGAACAGATTATGTATTATCCAACATATGCCAACACTTCTTGCTTTCTTAAACCTGTTAATAAATTGTTGGGCAGATTCGCCTGGCAATTGTGATAATCTAGCAAGTTCAGAGACACTCACTTCAATCCCAATTTGGTTAAAAAAAAAAACTGAGAATGAAATAAATTTTCTAACAGCTGCCAATTCTGAATTGAATTTTGTGGCAGACTCATATTATACTAAGAATACACCATCCCGATTAGAGAATTACTAAACAAACAAAATTTAATAAATTCATTTACTTCGCCACATTGTATGGCAAATTTTCCTTAAATGCTCAAAAGTGGACTGTCCATGTTTTCGTAAAAGTATTACAAGTCTAGACATCTAAATTCTCTTGGGAAAGGATAATTAAGCATGGTCAATCCAATGTGGATATGAATTTCTATGGTTCATCTTAGCCAGTGGACGATATAATCCTAACTATTCCTGCAATTTCTCTAACGGTTGACTTCTCAACTTGTTTAAATTTACGTCTTGAGGAATAAAAGTTTAATGGAATTACTGAGGAAATTCTTGATATGCTTGAAAAACAGATGGATTTGGTCTTTGATTTCAATTTTGAGGCATCGTTGATGGTATTTGACTTCAATTTCATTATGTACACCAACCCCAACCTCATTGAATATTGATCCTAGAAACAGCATTAGTTTCACCGGAGGATGTCCTAAAGGAAGATTTGCCATGGTTTTTTGGTCCAATATGTTGGTCACTAGCACTCCATCATTAGTTTGTTTTGTTGGTCTATCCTCATATTCGCGAAAAGTACTCACGATATTATAATTTACTGCCCTAAGAGGGACATTATTCAATCCATGGTGAATTTCATTTCGCTGCACAAAACTTACACGTTGTTCATTTAAAGTACGAGATTTATTTAATACTTGTAAAGAAATATTAAAAATCGAATTAGTAGCTTTAATAAAATTAGGTACCAGATCCATTCCATCTAGGGATGATAACGGACACGATGTAAAGTAAATACTTGTTTTGTTCGACTCAATAAATATGTAATATGTAGTAAAGTAAATAAGAATAAAAAAATACATACATACTAATTAATATGATTTTTGAGTGTGGATATCCATTATTTATGTTATTAATACCCATTAATTTATTTTGATTTTTTCTTAATATACAGAAATCTAATTGTATAAATTTTAAAATTAAGAACTTAAATATATTTTTTTAAAACTTTAAGGACAAAAAAAAACTTGTAAAACTGATAAGAATGAAAAAAAATTGAAGGACCAAAAACTTTTTTAAAAATTATAAGGATTAAAATAAATATTTTTGATAAATTATTTTAACGAGTACTAAATAGGTGGTTAAGTTAATGTGAGTTGGGTATTGATGGGATAAAAATTTATATATTGATTTTTTAATAAATACTATATATATTAAATTAATTTAATATATATATATATTAAATTAATGAGTCTAGTACATGTCCTGCGATACCTAATTTCATCTAACACCTTATTAGAGACATTAATATTTTATTTGCAATCGCGATCATAAAACGCAGCTTATCACAATAATAAAATAACAATCGTGATAATTGATATCGTAAATACATTAACAACTCGTTAATAAATTTATTTTAATTCATATATTTTTAACATTTTTTCTATTTAAGCATACTAATAAGTAATAAAATCTTTAATATTTAATATTATACAACAATAGTTAAATTTATAATAAAAAAATAGTTAATAACACTTTTATTAGATTAATATCATATAAAAATTAATAAAATATATTACAACTTCAATATACACAAGTACAAAATATTCATCTATAAAAAAAAATCATTTTGTAGACAAGCATAATAATAGTTATCATATTATTGTTGATGTTGTGATTCTTATCTATTAAGATTATAACTATATTGTCCTCCTAAATCTAATTGCCCAATAATAAAGCATTCATGGAGAATTTTTTTTTTTTTTAGAATGTTATGGAATTAAAATAAATTGGTATGATGAAATAACAATTTTAATATACCATATGAACCCAATAGCCCTCTAAAAAGACTGATTTTGCTTATCTTATCATGTCTTATTTTTTATTTATTTCGAGACTGCTGCAAAAAAAAAAAAAAAAAATGTTGAAAAATACACGAAACCACGTGGAGCCTTGGACTGCAATTCATATTTCATTATTATCATTCAAAGAAAACAGAAAGTCCACTGTCAATTCAAGATTCCCTCTCTTATATAACAATTTCTTTTGCTTCCCTCTCATCGTAGACCTCAAAGCACTTTATGACTATCGTCGACATAAACACAATTTCTTTTTCTTCTAAACGCCATATCTATAAAACATAAGTAACATCCACACACCACCCTAAGTATCAGGTGTGTCGCACAAAAATTACAGTAAAGAAAGCCACAAGTCTGCAAAGGCAGAAAGTATTTTTTTTTTAATATAAAATTATTATATAACGATAAATAACTGCATTACGTAACAATAACTTGTTATTTACCATTATATATGTAAAATAATATCTAGATATCTATAATACTGAAAATTAGGCAAAATATCTGTTGAGCTATGCTTTCTCTAGAAACTAGCTAGTTTACGGAAATCATTGTGGTCCAAAAAGCAAGTTCGACCATATTTATTCTTCTACATTCTCAAAATGTTCAGTTTGTTGCATTTCAGTGAGGAAAAACTGTATATATGCTGGACCAAGCATCTTCTAGATATGCACTTTATGCATTTTCCTGATTAATATTTGGTCAAAAAAAAAAAAAATTGATTCTAGAGTTTTCATTCCAATTTGGACAAATTAGAGATAGCAAACGAAGTGATATCCATCCATAGCCATATGCATCAGCTACATTTCATTCATTTATATTCAAGTAGAACGGAAGGTTATCAGTGGGCACGGATCTCCATAGAAGCAAAACTCCCCGAGATGGCCAGTGGATTCGACTCCCCTCCATGACAAGAATCACTAACTGAGGCTTAAAGTAGTATACACTTGCATTATTTCCATGGACAGTTAAACTATCTAGCTAGAAGCACACATTCCTTGGCTTTTCTGCAAGCAGGTTGAGTTTTGGCTAATCGGTGCACACATCCTAGCAGAATTAATTCTTTTTGTATAATTCATATCTGCAACCTAAAAAATCTATAGCTGAGTCTATATTCTCTCGTATGGGAGCTAACTCCACGATTTTCCACTAAAAGATATCCGTAGCATCTAACTTGCAGAGTTTCTCCAGCAAAGATTACAAGCGCTGGAGATATCATGTAACAAATCAAAATGAAAAATGATTGCATCGAGTTGTTATTTCTCCATAAGTTGTCAAAATTATACGTGCTAGAGATATCATTTAAATCAATTAAAACGAAATATGATTCAGGTGTATATATATCTCATCACAGAAATATCCGTCATTTTCTTGATGGCTGTGATTCAAATTGAAGTTCCTGCTTTAGGAGTTTTCTTTTCTGAATCAAAATATATTTATGCAAATCCATAATATTAACTAAATAAACTAAAACAAAACGTGGATTTATTGTTTCAAATAATGTTCACACACTCATAATTTACTATTCATTGGTTTTTGACACTTTGGTCCTTGATCTTTGCCAACTAATCTTTCGTTCCACATATTCATTTGCTCATCCATATTCGTCCCCGGATGAGAGAATCTTCGACCAAGCTTATTTAGGTCGCTTTGACGAGCGAAAATCCACTAGATTTGTTTATATTTGAGAGATGAGTTTATCTATGATTGTTTCAAGCCATTAAACCATTAGAGGAGGTAGATCGGAGCCAAAAAAGAAAATAAAGTTCCGATTTGATTGTGTAATTTGTTTTTATTTTTCTATGCATTAAAATGATTTTTAAGGTTTTAGATATGTTTATTGGTTTTATTCCGATCATTTAGAGGTGTTTGAGAAAATAAATGATGTCGAAATTCAATTTCTAAGAGTCCGAAACTTGAACCCCGACTTTCCCACGAAGATTCCAGTGACCTCGATCGCCGAAGTTACGACCCTTTTTTTTTTTTTTTCAGCAGCCCAAGCCCGACTCGCGAGCTCGAAGCTGCTTAGCCGACTCCGACGCACGAGCTCGGCTATTTTTATTTTTTTTCCCCTTCCGTTTCGGCTTAGGAAATTATTAGTTATTTTGGTCCCTTCATTCTTTTTTTTTTAATTTTGGTCATTCAACTTTTCTGATCTTTGATTTTTATCCCTATCAAAAATATTAAATTTTTATTATATGTGATTTTAATCCCTATAATCAAAATTTTTTTAACTTTTAGTAAAAATTTATGTTTTTTTTATGTTTTTTAATATGTTTTATTTTATTTATGAAAATTTTCTCATATTTAATTTTTATCCTTACTATGCTAAAATTAAATAAAATTTACTATCCTAAGGTTTTTTTTTTTACTGAAATTTTCTTTCTATTCTAATTTCGTTTTGTTATTTTTTCTTTCTTTTCGTCATTAAATTCGGGAAAAAAAATTTAGTCTTTGTTTTGTAATTTTTTTTATTTTGATAATTAATTTTTTTCCTACAAGGAACTATTTTTTACTTTTAATAAAACTTTTTGTTATATTTTGGTTTTTGTTTTATGATCTTTCATTTATTTTAATCATTAAACTTTTATTATATTTAATTATTAATCATTGTACATTAAAATTAAATACATTTTAACTATCCTAAGTTTTTTTAAAAAAAATTTTAGTGAAAGATTTTTTGTTTTGATTCTTATGTTATTAATTTTTTTATTTTAATCATTAAAATTCTATAATGTTTACTTTTGTTCCTACTCGATGCATAATGAAATTTTTTTAGTCTTATTATTTATAAGTATTTTTTGCATGCTTTTAGTGAAAGTTTTTTTTATTTATTTTTATCCTTTTATAATCTTTACTTTGTTTTAATCATTTAATTTTTATCATGTGTAATTTTATTTCTATTTTCTTTGTCAAGTTCTCGATTTGACGAGCTTTTTTATCTTTTTGTTTTGAGTGATCTCTCTGTCTCATTAATAAATTACGGATGAATAATATATGATAAAAATTAATCATCGAAAATTCAAAAAACTATCACATTATTATTTTAATTATCAGCTATTAATTAAATACATGTTTATATATAAAAAAATCTAATTAGCAATATTATATTACTCAACTTTATAGATTTTTCATTAGCTAACCCTATAGTAAATTATGAAATATATGCTTTATTTTTTTAATTATTTTCAGATGATATTGTCAAATAATGATTTGTAAATGTTAAATTTTATATTAATGAATGCATAAGAATGATATATAATTCATCCTGCAGCAATGCGCGGGATATATGCTAGCAAATAATCTAAAACAATATATGTACACTAAGTCCTGTGAACCAAAACGGCATTGTGTTGAGCTTTGTGCCTTGAAACGACGTCGTTTTTGTTTATCAAAAAAAAGAAGCATTTTTTGGTCAACTTATCCAACTTCGTACAATTTGGTCTTTCTATTTATACTTTTATGCAAACCAGTCCCTTAATTAAATATTTATTTTATGTTTTTTATGACTGAAATGTTCTTCCAGCCCAGGCCTATACGGATGAGCCTGATGTTTGCCCAACCAAACCTCTTTTGTTGTGCTTTTTTATACTTTTTTTCATTAATTATTATTTACTCAAAATAAAAAAATTTATGCTTTTATTTTTTTATTATTTACTCAAAATAATTTTTTTTCCATCATTAATGATTTTTTATTTTTTATAGTCTTATTAATTAAAATTAAACACTGTTATAATATAAATTGAGTTTTAAAAAAAATAATTAATTGCAAGTTTTCTTTTTATTTTTTTATTGATTAAGATAAAAAATATTTTTAGGTTATATTTAAACTCAATTATATATATATTCTCACAATTAGTGTTTATTAATGTTTATTTTATGCCTAGATTGTTTAATTATTTAAAATATTAAAACAAAAAAAAATTGTTATTGTTTTATAGACTCATTAACTAAAATAAAAAACTCTTCTAATATAAATTGATTTAGCATATTCATCTAATTTGATTTGAAAAATAATAATTAATTGTATTTTTTTTATTGATCAAAATAAAAAATATTCTTAAGATATATTTAAATTCAATTATGGAATATATATTGCATAATACATATTAAATTAAACAATTTCTCACAATTAATATTCATTAATTTTTATTTTACTCCTAATTTTTTTTCATTATAATTAAGTCTGGTAAACAAAATGGTGTGATGCTATCTCATTTTGGGTTGAAACAACCTCGGTTTACGGGGAAAAAAAAGTGATTTTTTGAATATTTGGTGCCGTTTCTTACACTTTGGTATTTCAGGTTCTACTTTTGTACAAAATGGTTCCTCAACTTAATTTGTGTTACATTAAGGTTCTAATCTTTTTTTTTTTTTTATGACTGAACTATGCTTTAGTCCAAACGTATGGCCTGGTTATATTAGGCCCACCTGGAAGGGGCTTTTTTCCTTATGCTTTTACGATACTGTACAAAACGTTCCCTAAACTTAATTTGCAATACAACGAAATTGCTGCTTCTTCTTCTTCTTCTTCTTTTATCAATAGTTAATGGTTTATTTTTTCATAAACTCATTAGCTAAAATTAAACACTCTTTTAATATAAATTGATTTAGCACCATCTTCTAATTTTATTTTTAAAAATAAATAAATAAATAAATGCATGTTTTCTTGCTTATTTTATTAATTAAAATCAAATATATTCATAAAATATATTTATGCTCAATTATATAGTATAAATAGTTTATTTTATATTGCATAACACAAATTAAATTAAAGAAGTTTTCACAATTAATATTAATTAATTTTTATTTTACTCCAAAATGTTTTAATTATTAAATATATTATATAGACGATGCATCTGTAAGTTCATAGCTTGGAGTAAGAAAGGAATCCCTCCGTCCCAAGGGAACAGCTATCCTTGACCCCCCAGATTCAGCCACTGCCTCCGAAGCAGCCAGTATGAGTATGTCAGAACAAGAAACTTGTCCAGGGCAATCAACTTCTAGTCTTCTACCATTGATTTTCAAATGCCAATTAGCTCTCTCTGTTGAATTCCAAAATTCCTACGCGAAGCCATCTCCATAGGAACATTTTCCATGCCAGGATCACTAAGGATCGTCGCATCACAGCCCTGTAAAACATAGAATCATGCAGTATAAGCTAGCTAGAAAATAGAACTACGCATTAGAAAGTGAACCTAGATAGATGGAAGACGCAAACGGAGAGATATTGACCTGAACATGGCAGTCACGGAACATGAGCCTCAGCAAAGCTGCAGGTGCAGTGGGATCAGAGGGAAGGATAGCTTGAAGGGCACTTCTAACAATGTCCTCAACATGAGGGCATGATTTCTCATAGAAATCATAAGATATATAGCCCTTCACCTTGAATCCCAAAGCCATATACAAACACAAAGACCACTGCAACTTTAATTCCCAACTCCATATTATTCTGTATTAGTCAAGAATAGAGGCAGGTATGTGATATATATACCCGTATAAATTCATCTCGAGCCACGTGTCTCCAAAGCCTATCAAAATAAAGCCTTCTTGCAGTTATAGGCTTTCTTCTCTACGGCCTCATATAGCACCATGTGTCTCCAAAGCCTATCAAAATAAAACCTTCTCACATTTACAGGCTCTCTTCTCTATTGTCTCACACCCACCCGACCCGCAACACAGCCACAAATGAGGCTGCCCCATCACCAAAAACTCCACCACCAAACAAACCCTAAATATACAGCACAAACTGGTAGCCCGGACAAAATCCTCCCTCCTATTTAATTAGATAGGAAAAACATATATTTAATGAGAGCAAGGTTTCATAAAATATTTGTCATATTATCACAAAAAATGATTGCACATGTACAGATTATATAAGAGATTTGCCTAAAAAGATTCCAACCTGCATATAAATATCAACAGTTGTTACATACAAGAAAAAAGACTAGCTTATCCTCCATTAAAAAAAAAATCGATATTTTTTTATTATATAAAAGTTAATGCTTCATATATTATAAGTTCAATATTTTAAACTTTAAAACTAATAATAATATTATATATCTTCTCTTTAGTGGTTCTGATTACATAAACTAGACCTAAAATTTTAGAATGAAATATAAAATTTTTGGTTTGGAAAAATTAAATATTTTAATTAAATAGTAGCTCTAAATCCATGAGTGATGCTAACTTTACCAAAAAAAAAAAAAAAAATCCTGAAATCACTGGAAAAGATCATAATTATTGGATTTGTGGGACCTGCCAGTGGGTCGGTCCTACTCTCAACGAATGGAATTTTTTAAGAAGTGAGTTGGGGAAGAATTTCTTGATTAAGTTAGATAATAAGCATCATTTGCCCCAAACACACCCCTTAAATTTGTTCATCAAAAAAGTAGAAAAAAATGTGAGAGAACTCCAACATAAGACTCCCTCTTGAATTTTGCTTTATACTGATAATGCCCATGCCAACCTTTATGATCTCTTCAATCCTCCCTTATTCGTTTATTTATGTTTCTCTAAATATATGTTTGTTAATATGGTTACGCATTTATATTGATACGTTTGAAGTTGTTTTCTTCTTCTTCTTTTTTTTTTATGTTTTTGATGTCAGCATATTAAATTAAAAAAATATAAATACAACTTAAACTTTTTATCAAAAATTCATCTTAAATGGATTGACAACTCTCAAGATTCAATAGTATATACTAGGTTCGGATCATCTAGTTCATGTGCACGTATTTTTCTCTTCTTTTATTTTATTTTAATAATTGGGATATCTTTAGATCAATTTTGGTATATAAAGTCGGAACTTTTTTATAGTTGGATCCAGTGGTGAAGGCAGAAGCATTTGTTAAGGGAGGTAAATTTTTTCATTGACAAGAAAAGAGTAAAATTATGGGGAGCAATTGATCCTTTTTATTTGGACCGATGTGAAAAGATAGAAACCATAAGGATTAAAGAGAGAAGTTTAAACACAAGCAGTCTCAGTGAAATAAGTTTCAAGTTTTGGATAGGTTCATTGAACTTTCAATCAATTAAAAAAAAGAAAAAGAGAGAGAGAACAAAAAATTAAGAGATTCTTCTCTACAATGTAGCTTAAATAGCTTGTTAGATATCAAGTAGGTCATCCACACTCTAATTAGTGTATTCATGATAGATTATTTTTTTTGCGGCCTTCTTGCAACATTTTTTCCTTCAAGTAATGTTAATTTTATCAAAAAAGTAATATCATTCATTGAGCTAAATTGGAAATTACATGGACACAATAAGTAAAAAAATAAAACTATACAGTATAAATGTTTCTGAATTAAAATTCTCTCATGTTCTTAAAAGAACACCAATGTTATGTTAATTAAATCTAAATTATTGAATTCAAATTAAAAGATCATGATTTATTACATGATAAAAATGAAAATAACGCAACTCTTTATTATTTTATTTTATTTTATTTAAACCATTAAATTTAAAATCAATTATAAAATTTGAAACATAACTGATCATGTTTTCTTAAGAACATGAAAAATCCATTTATATTAAGTTTGTTTTATAGATTTTCTTACTAAAAAAATTTTTGAGTTTTTTAATTACAATGGATGCAACCAACAATTAGAATAGAACAAAATTGCAGTATCAAAAGAAAAATGATTGAAGTATATTGAATTTTACAAAATATATTAGAAATTAATTAAAAGTATAAAAGAACCAAATAATGTACCAGGAAATGGTTTTATCGATTTTCTTATAAAAAGAATACTATATGTTAGTACTCATAAACTGAAAGTATTACACACATGTTCGGCACATAGGGGTACAGTTCGAATTTTCAACGGATACGAGGCGAAGCTGAAAATAATATTTCATCATTAAATATTACCTTTGCTGCTCTTTTGCCGTTGGACCAAAGTGCTTCATCAATATTTCAACAATAACATGCTTTACAATAATCAATTTTATGCTCCAATCTCAAAAACAATTACTATTAGCACCGTTCCTTACAGCAGTGAAAAGCTTAGATTTTTTTTTTTGAATGATATAGTAATGTCTCCAACAATTCGAACTAAATACATAAAAATGGAGAAATAAGAAATTCAAAAGGAAAAAAAATGAAATATGATTAAATCTTCAAAATATTATTCAATTATGCAGTACCTATAAGAATTTTTTTTTTTTTTTTGAAATATACCATTGTAAAAACAAGAGGATTCATGAATGAACAATTTCATAAACTCAAACCTAACTTTTCGGAATCATACAATCATATAGACAATGAGGCATTGCATAGGCAACATTTTCCAAAATAAATAAATAAATAAATAATAACTTCTTTTTTTTTTTTTTTGTAGAATTCTTAAGTATCCTAAACATAAAATCTCATACTATTATTTCGTTATTCTATCGGACATATAAAATGAGTATAGTTATCCAAGAAATTTTTTATATACACAAAGATTTGAATCCAAAACTATTTATTTAAACGATTAGAGTTATTTTCATTCAAGCTAATTTTTTTGAGTAAAATAATAACTTTTTTAGGAAGTAGTATCAGCGGCCAGGCAAATTAAGAAACATGGGTTCAATTGATGGATTTTCGGATTAATTACCAATAAATGCTACAGCTCTATGTTTCTTCTTATCATCATAATCTCTTGTTTATATGCCTCTAAAAAAATGGCAGGGTAGGTTTCATGTTCGGTAGGTAAAAACCTTCTTGAGAATCCAAAAAATGTTGAGATGGCAAATTATGGAAGGAAATGAGAGATTCTTGCAAATAAGAAAAGAGACCAAAATTAAAGTACATTACTGGATAATTAATGGGGACCGAGGAAGGAAATCTCATGCTGTTGTATAAATGCAAGACAATGCAGCGGTAATTCTCCCACCAAAAAAGCCTTTTTGTTGCGGGACATCAAATAGTTGCCAAATACTAAAGCTCATCTTTCAGTCTACACCATCATTCTTCTTAGTAATATTACCGATGGAAGAAGTCTAAGTAATCGTTGTTGGTGCAGGTCCTGCTTGCCTAGCAACATCTGCATGCCTCAACTATCTTTCCGTTCCAAACGTTATCCTAGAAAGAGAGGATTGTTATGCTTCTTTGTGGAAGAAAAGGGCCGTCTAAAGTTGCACTCGCAAAGCAATATTGTGAACTTCCATTCATTACGTCCACTACTCACTAGCCTTCCAAGTAGTAGGAAAACCGAGTAATTTTGAGCAAAAATCAATTCAATTTAATTTCCCATTGATTAAGCGTGGAAATATATCAAATTACTCGGTTTTCCTACTACTTGGAAGGGAAAAAATGGTCTTTAGTGTGCAGGATTTGCCAAGAGGGCTTGTTTGGCATCTCAGTGGACGCAAAAATATAGCAAGGGACATTTATAAATTTAGCATTGATAAGTGAGTGATCAATTGGTTCAATGGTTAAGATTCCGTTCTCCTCCTGGCCCAAAAACTTAAAGACTCGAATCTTGCATAACTAATAGTTGGTGCTATATTTATTAATCTATGTTCTCTTTGCATTACGAGTCTTCTAAACTTTAGACACTGCATAGGTCATGTGTTTTGCTGGACCGGGTGCTATATATATAGCCTTCATGCTCCCCGTTTTTGTTATAAATTAGAAATTAATTCGTATTCTCGCACTTAATTTGTTAGGTCAAAATATCTATGTCGTCCTTAGTTCAGTTCAACTATTCAACAAAAGTTTGTCTTCTTTTTAGAATATTTAATGAAAATCAGCCGTCGTTAGTTTATAGGAAATTAAAAAAAGAAAAAGAAAAAAAAAAGAACATTACGTCCTCACAAATTAAATGCCATCAATGACATACTCTTAAGGCATAAAATCAAAAAATAATCTCTTTTTTTAAAGATAAATAAAAATATCGCACAATTCATTATACTATTCATATAAACTCTTAACCAAACATCATCCATACTCAATAGATGAAAAATTAAAACATAATTCTGTATGCATGTGTGTTTTTTTTAAAATAAAGTTGTACGTATCGATTGTTAATTTGTTTAGTGATTTGGACAATAAAATTTGAATTTGAGAGTTAAGATTGCAGTACACAAAAGATCGAATGCTTATGTTTCATAAGGGAGGAGTAGTGCAACAATGTTTCAGTAACAACTGTTGTCTGCCAAACTTCTGCGCAACCAACAGTCCAACAGCATATGTCTGGAAAAAGAGGAGCAGTGTGCCATGGCATTTCCTTGTCCTCCAGCTCGAGGTTGTATTTACAGGGCCCATCTAAGCTTTTCCTTGTTTATTGTCCTATAGGACGGTGATCCAAAACTACTTTATTCAGGAACTGTTTTTTAAAACTGTAGTTCGTGGGCTTTAATTACTAAAGAATTTAGAGCAAAGGCCCACTTTTAATTTCAATTCTCTCTTTGAGAGG